AAATTACCCTTGGTTGTCAAACTCACAACCTCCTTGAGGGATGTGACTGTATCCCATCCCAAGGAAATATCAACACATTTTGAATGTTGCTAGATGTTTGAAGTTTCAATCTAGTTTACCATTACAGTATTGGAGTGACTTTATTCTAATGCAATACACCTTATCAACAGGATCCCAACTCCCCTTCTTAACAACAAAAAACCCTTTGAAGTTTAGTATAAGCAAGTCCCTCATCTGGGACATTTGAAGGTATTTGGATGCTTGTGTTATGCCAATACCTTAGCCCATGGTAGGACAAAATTTGCTCCACGAGCCACACAATGTGTGTTCCTGGAGATACCAGCTGGGATCGAAGGGTATAAAGTGTTGGATATTCATCACGAGAAGGTTTTCATATCTAGAGATGTATTTTTTTTTATGAGAACATCCTACCTTTCAAGGTTCCTGATCATTCTGACTTACCTACTCCATCTTCTACTACTTCATGCCCTCCTGTTTCTATTCCAGTACCAGAACCTCCACTTCATATTCCTTTTCTACGTGTTCCATCTAATCCTCCAAAACCTCCTCCTAAGTCAAATTCTTCCATAGATGAAGGGGGAATATTGTGCAAGAGGTGACACCCATTATTCCAACTTCCTCAATTGGTGATCACTATACATGTATTGACTCTGATGAGCAGGAACTCTATCCACAAGCTGATGTTGACCTGGATGAAACTAATGCACCTGAGACATGAAGACCTCCTAGACACAAAACTCTACCAAGCAGATATAATGATTATCAACTGAACCCCTCTCTCAAGTTTGGGGCTTTTGGGAATGCCAATGCTACTACCAGGTATCCAATATGTTTGAGTGTCCATACTTTAAACAAATAGGATAGATGTTATGCACTTAGGGGTCGTTTGGAGAATATGAGTTTAAATCTATCGATTATCAACAACCTAAATATTCTAACTCTTCGGATTGTTGAAAATAGATTTTAAAATGTTTCTTGTTTGGTAACTGTGATTATTAACATTCAATGAAAATAAAAAATTTAATTTTATATTAAATAACATGTTTATCCTTAATAAAAATATTATAATGGTTCGATAAATATGAATACCTTTGTTGATAAATATATTTAATATGATAAATAAATAAAAGAAAGAGAAAAGGTAGGAGAAAAAAATCTCACAAATCAATATACAAAATCTCTCTGATTATGAGAGATTTGATTACCGTAGATTTTAGAGATTTGAATTCTCTAAATCTAAAATTCACAATACAAATCCCGTTCTCCAAACGACCCCTTAATCTTAATGTTATGAATCAAATAGAATCTAAGTCCTAATATGAGGCAGTACAGTCTGATGTTTGGAATAGAGCTATGAAGACAGAAATGCATGCATTGGAGGAAAATCAAACTTGGGATATAGTTCCATTACCACCAGGAGCAAAGGAAATTGGAAATAAGTGGATTTATAAGATTAAAATTAACCCTTATGGATCATTGGAGAGGAACAAAGCCAGATTAGTGGCTAAAGGGTACACACAGGTCTATGGAATAGATTTCCTTGATACTTATTCCCCTGTGGCAAAGATAAACACAGTCAAGACTTTCTTAGCTATAGCAAGTGTCAAGCACTAGGTTTTAGAGCAGTTGGATGTTTCCAATGCTTTCTTGCATGGAGACTTAGATGAAGTGGTTTATATGAAAATACCATTTGGCTTAGAAGTCCCTTCAGGGAATAATCAAAAGATTACCTGCATGTTAAAGAAATCGTTGTATGACCTTAAACAGGCATCAAGACAATGGTTTGTCAAGTTAACAAGTTTCATGCTGAAGTTTGGCTTCTCATAGTCAGCATCAGACTACTCACTTTTCACTAAGTGGACTCATAAGAAAAATACAGTATTGCTAGTGTAGGTAGATGATATCATCCTAGGGGGAGATTCACATAAGGATATTGAACAAGTTAAGGCAGCTCTCAGTAAGCAGTTCAAGATTAAGCTACTGAGACTAGGGATGGCAATTACCCGCACATGGGTAATTATACCCAAACCCAAGTGGACCCATTGATAATGAGTTGGGTATGGGTGAAGTGCATATGGGTTTGCGTAAGGTATGGATAAAATTGTCATCCCTAACTGGGACCCCTTAAATACTTACTTGGCTTAGAGGCTACTAGAAATAAAAGTGGTCTAGATGTATGTCAGAGGAAATATTGCATTGAGTTATTGAAGGACACTTATTACATTGAGTCTAAGGGCTGTCAAACACATATTGACACCAAAGTGAAGTTGAATTATAGAGGGAAGCCATTAGAAGATCAAGAAGTATAAAGGAGACTGGTAGGAAGATTGCACTAGCCTTTTCATCGCCAATCGTTGCGGTTCTTTCAAACCTGACAACAGCAAAAACTGGATGGAAGGCACTGGAAGACCAAGAAGTATAAAGGAGACTGGTAGGAAGATTGCACTACTTAACCATCACAAGGCCAGACATAGCCTTTGTTGTGCAACATCCGTCTCAATATCAAATGTCACCTTGTGTTGAACATCTACAAGCTGCTTATAGGGTACTCAGGTATCTAAAGTCCTCACCAGATCAAGGAATACATTTCAACAGTGAAGTAGAAGTGAAAATGACTGGTTATCGTAATTCTAATTGGGCAAGCTGCCCTGACGCACGAAGATCCATTACAGGATACAACACCTTTCTTGGAACTTCAATGATGACTTGAAAAACGAAGAAACAAACTACAGTTTCATGGTCTTCCTCAGAAGCTAAATATAGGGCACTAGCTCATTTGGTATGTGAAGTGGAATGGTTGAAGAGATTGCTGACAGAAAGAACCAAGCATATTGAGATCGACATTCATGTTACGAGGGAGAGGGTGAAGATTGGATTGATCAATCTGCAATATGTCAATACACTTTGATAAACTTGCATATATTTTTACAAAAGGTCTTGATCGTTTTAGATTGAAAGAACTTCTGGTCAAGTTGGGGATCAAGTTGATACCACCAACTTGAGGGGGATGACAGAGTATATGGACAGAGGATTGAGTTGCAGCTGGTATGGCTTAACACATCAGAGGAATCCTAATCACAATAGGACTCAAAGAAAGAAGAGAAGAAGGAAATGCTGTCGTGGAGGCAGAAAGAAACGTTGTCGTGGAGGCAAAACGGCAACGTAGTTCTTATTGTTAGTTAGTCGTTAAATATCACTGTTTTGTTTCATTTGGACAAATGATGTAGTGACCCTATCTTAGTTTGGTTTAATTACAACGTCCAACTATATAAGCTGAACGAAGGACTCATTGTTATATAAGCTCCTTTCCCCAATCTTACATCCAAAATCGTTAGAGTACTTCAAGTTTACGGGTTTCGGCTTTGATACGGTGACCCGTGACTACAAAGTTGTGCGGAGGCTGGAATTTAGCATGAATTCTAGACCTAGGTATGATGAAGATGATGAAGATGAGATGACGATGATGATGACGATGGATATTGGGAGTTTAACAATGCCCCTGAATTTACATATCACGAGGTAAGCTCCTAATTCCCCTGCTGTCTATTTGGCTGTTATGACTTATGAGTCCATTAATTTATGGATTGATTCATATTTTTCTCATTTTGTTCTTGGATGAATCAGGTCAATAGCATGAGGAATGATTCATGGAAGAGATTACTAATGGTTAATGATGATATGATTATGGATCAGTGTCACTACGAATATGTTCATCAACATCGTAGAGACACGTCCAGAAACGAGAATTGTTACTGATATCACTCGGCTAGAAGAGAAAAATGTGTGATTCTTTCCTTTGATATGAGTAAAGAAGTGTTTGAAACGACGACCATTGCTCGTGCCCGGGGACGAGGAACTGGTATTCGGATACATGGTGCGTTATGTTGAAAGAATAATTTGTGACGGTTTTTCACATTATAAAAGATGTGGAAGCTACTCCTCATGAGATATGGGGGTTAATGAAATACGGAGTCGTGGACCAAACGGTTCGCTTACCGGTCCCTTTCGAGCATTTACAATCACGAGTTTGAAGTTTGGAAGGATGGTATATACATATGTTCCATGAAAAGTACTGGAGTGTCTCCCAATAGTCTTCGAAGCGACAAAATGAATGCAGTATACATATTATGGATCCTAACAAAAGCAGAGTTATTAATCGTCTTGATGCTGAAGGGAGAACTCATCCGTTTCAACTCACTTTCAAGTCCATAGTTACACTCCAACTCGAGTTTCATTGTCACATTTGGAATAGTACGTACGACCATCAACTTGTTAGTTACCTTCTTCAGCCTCCTTTTTGCAGACTAGCAAAGGATTCCCATTGCTTTCCACCATTTTTCCTTCTATTGGTTTCATCTCCAACGTTGTGCACAGTTTTGGTTTATTTCCGTAAATGGAATCTTATTGTGGCAAATAATAATATAATCCACCCAATTTAATTCAATCATCTACTAAATAAATATTCAAATTAATCTAAATCTATTTGGATCAAATGCAATATGCTAGTCTCATTATAAAAAAAAATGTAATGTGTCAGGTCATTAATAGGTTCGATTCAAGGATTTCTACAGAATTCCATTTCAGTATCCACAGTTTTTTTACTTTGCAAATTATGAATTATGTTTCTATTTTTTTTACCAAGAAATTTCTTGAAAACTATAGTAGTAAGTGCCTAAAGTTTTCAACCATGACGTTTTAGTACCTAACATTTTAAAGTTCACAAAGTAATCCAAAATTATACGTAATTTGAATCAACAAATTTAAACAATAAATTCACAAATTCATTCAACCCAATGTACAAATCTGAAAACTCATAAATCCGATGTACAAATTCACTGATTCCTCCATCGACCCCCCTCTCTCCTGGAACCAATGTATGTCAGAAGGGGGAATGGGAAAAAAGGAAAAACTTTGGGTAAAAATAGTGGAGGCTTTTTAGTATGCTATATAGTATGGGTACTTTACTATGTTTATAGCCATTAGATCTTGTTAAATATTGTGAGCCATTGGATCTTGTTCAATTAATTATTTTTTTTATTTTATTTTAGTATTGGCTATCTGTTGCACCGGTTGACAAGTTAATAATAATTAAAAAATAAAATTAGAAGCTTCACTTGACTTCTCCGTTCCAATTCTCTTCGACTTCTATTCAAAAAAAATTCTCTTCGACGACGGTGAAGGAGGTGAGCAGAGGGTGAAGGCAAGCGAGTGCGACGAGCAGGGGGCAGGTCGACGGCGAGTGCGACGCTAGGTAAAGGAAGAAATAGGGCTTCGTGGCGTCTCCAGTCGATAGAGAAGGGGGTGAGCAGGTCTCCAGATTCTGAAATAGGGTTTTCGCGGTGTCTCCTCTCCCGCGATTGTGCTTCATCGCCTCTTTTTTGTGCCGCCGGGGCGAACATAGTGGTGGCGTTTCCTCGTCGATAGTGAAGGTGGCAACAACGACAGCGAACTGGATCTTCAAATAGGTTGACGACGATACTGTAAATAGGGACTGAGCAGGGGATTCATTGGATCTTCAATTGGTCGCAGCTTTGCTGTGTTTCTTCCTTCAAGTTTTCAGGTAATAAAGATGATCCTCAGATTCTGAATGTTTCTTCATTTCTCACTTCAAATTCTTCTTCCTTCACCTGCTACTTCTTTCTCGTCGTCTGACTAAAGAGAACCCTAAACTCCGCCCTCATTTGTAGAGACAACTATTCCTTCTTTTTTCATCATTTTAGCTCACTATAAGTTTCAATTATGATTGTTCTTGTATAATGCTTTTGGGTTTCATGGAAAGTGTATGAAAGATGATGAATTGGAGATCATCATTAGGGAATTGAAGATTTTCTGTGAGTGTATCGTCAATTGGGTTTGTTTGTGTTTTGCTACATTGATCATTACCATGGACATTCATAACCTTAAACGATGTTGTTGCTTCTGTCTAGTTGATAATCCAATCGATTTGAAGTCTTGTATTAGGATTGCAGGTGTCGCAAAAAGACTATAAATGCAGGTTGTGTTCGATCATGTACTATTTGGTTTTGTGTTCAATCCTGTACTATCTGGTTATCACTCTCCATAAAATTAAATCCTCTTCTGTTGTAGATAATGAATCGTAGATTGCATGTCAATAGTCTTGGATTAGTGTAGCTGATACTGTCTACAAGAACTGTTGGTCTATAGTGTTCATGCCATCTTGTATGCCCTCTGGTTTGTGGGGTGATAAAATTGCTAACCAAGACAAAAGGGAAAGAAGGAAAACTAAAAACTCAAACAGAGCATAATAGAGAGATAGTTAGAGGGAAAGCGAAGACATTGTTTATCTCATAAACTATAACAGTCCACTGTTTATTACAGTTGCAAAAGACATAGTGACATATATGAACAAATTTTGATATTAGATCATTCATAGACATGATTTATATCCTAGAAGAATTATACAAATTGACTATTTGCCTGGAGGAGTATAATAGCTGACCTGATTAATAGGGTTAGAGCACCCTCTATCCTACTTTCCTTTAGTTGTATCGTTCGTCGATTTATCATAAGAATTGTTCTGCATCCAAGTGTTTGTTGAAATACACCATGATTGCTTCTGGCTTCCATGTGTTCGACGTTATGTCGTGTGGAATACTGAACTAGGAAAACAACGAGCCTGAATTACTTAATGCCCCATCCGTAGTACGTAATAGTTAATACAGTAGGAATCCTTTCTTTCTTCTAGGATGCTTTTGTACTGCCACAAGGATTTGCAGTATTAGCATCACCTTAATCGTGAGTTGACTTTCATTTTTTGTATTATGTGTAGGGACTTTGATCTGGTAACTCTTTCAGATGCTACACGTTGGATTCAGAATTCAATTTCTCTTGTGATAGAGCTGCAATCTCACTCTTCTATTCCAGGCAAGTTGCTGAAATCTCGCCCTTTTAACTTCAGCCGTTAATTTTTATTCAAGATCGTTTGTCTCTGCCTCTTTGCTTTCTGCTCGTGACACTTACCCTGATGGTGATTGTGCTTTCGGTCATCACAATTATGACCTGCATATTTGGAAATAGTTGTACTTTGCTGTATGGAAGAGCTACTGTGTGATTGATGGTGTGAATTTATTTGTTAGAGTTTAGTTCCCAGCGTACTGTTTCTTTGGGGGGAAAATGTGCACTTAAGTTACAAATCTATGAGGACATAATAGATCTTGATCACTTTTTTGGTTTGTGTTTGTCTTGAGAGCATTATGCTATTGAGTTCATATATACTGTGTTATGTTCTGTTATGAGTGTTATCCTACTTGGTAGAAATGTTTTGACAGTAGCACTATCTTTGAACCGGAGGTGACAAAGGCCTCTCTTTTGTGATGAAGACGTAGATGTTTTCTTTGACATTGCGTTGGGCAACTGAGGTTGAACCCACAATAGAAGTTGTCAAGAACGAATCCCAGAGCAAGCTGAGCTGGAGTTAAACCATGCTTCTTTGCCATTTCAATGTAATGCACTGTTGATTCCTGGTGGATCAAAGTAGGAAGAATCGTTTTGGGCAAAATACTTCGTTCATAAAAAAATGCTTTGCTCTGCTGGTCACAATGAACAGAATCACTACGAGAGATAAGCTACTAAGCTCGGGGAAGATTGTGGATGCAAGTTTTTTCTTTTTGTAGTGGAATCTGGGTGTTTTTAGTTTCACGGCCGTGATTTATGAAGCCAAAGCCATGAGATTGCCTGGGGATATGAAAACTGATTTTTACTTCTCACGGGGCATGTCACGGCCGTGAGAATTCGAGAATGAACCGTGAGAACTGTTTAATGAAAGCTGGGTGTTTTGGGTGAAATTTATATATGCCAATGGCGGATTTCATGGTTAATTAGTGTACTCAGGCATTGATGTAGGGGTTTTCAGTTCTTCTGGTAGTTAGAACTGGATATCGAGGAAAGTGTGCTTGTGAGCTCTGGTATAGTCTTGCATTTGTTCAATATTGATAAAAGCCATATATTGAAAACCAGGATTGAACTCATTACCTGGAGAATGTGTTTACCAAATGAATAAATGATCCTTTTCTCGAATGAAACTTTGTCATAACCACGTTTTCTCAAATGTGTTTAAGTGTGAAAGTTGCTTCTTTAGATCAGTGGTGGACGACTCTGGCTTTGTGTATTTTGTTTGTACTCTTCGGCATGCTTATAATTCGTGTTTCAAGGCATGCTTATAATTTTTTTATTGTTTTAATTTTGCAGTTTGCTAAAATTGTTCTATAATGAAGACGAAGAGGCATGAACTTTTTAGCATGCGATGTTCTCCTAGGAAAGTATTCTCACTAGTCTCAAATTTAGAGGCTTGTCAATCAATGGCCATTAAGAGATATGGCTTTGGTCGGATTCTTGAAGTCAAAGGAAGAATGCTACAACGTGAGTTGTTGGAGAAACTTTTGAAGAGCTTTAATCTGGAAGAAAGCACAATTCAGGTGTATGGGTTGAAAGTGCATATTTCGGCCAAAGATTTCGAGCGAATTATGGGCGTGCCTGAGGGAGGTACTGATATCATCTTGAATGGTGAAGAAGTGGGAGGAAGATCCGAGGAACTGAAACCATTTAGAGTGTATTCGACACCTGATTGTGCCCGACAGGCGATTTCCACAAGCTTAATGCGGAAGGCGTTGTCGAAGATAAAAGATAGCGGCGATCAGTGGCGGACCCAGGATAGTTGGAGACCTGTGTCGCCGATAAAAAAAATAATTAAATTAAATTAAAAATTAAGTTAAAATTAAAAGAAATTAATTCATAAAGTTCACAATGTCATGTTTACAACGAACCACGATGACTTTTCATCTGCTGAAATGTCTCTAAAATACATTCATCACTTATGCTGCAAAGCAAATCTTTTTCAATATACACAACTAAACAATCATTCATAAATTGGTCACTCAACCGATTTCGAAGATTGTTCTTGGTTATCTTCATAGTTGAAAATGCCCTTTCGCAGCTTGCAGTTGCCACATCTAAGGTCAACACCAACTTTAACAGCAAGTAAACTAAAGGATAAAGAGTGTTCTTTCCCCTTTCCACCAATTTCCTAGCTAGCTCGTCGATTCCTCGCAATCCATCAAAGCTCTTATCCTCCTTGACATGAGAAATGTAGCCCCCCCAATTGTTGATGAAGTCGACCGGGCTTTTGGCCTGTGGGTTCTTTTCTCATTTAATTAAAGGCTCAGGCCCAACACTCATCACACATGTATATTGTATGGGCTAAGAGTGTTTTTTTAATAGGAAGGATAGGATTATGCTTTATGAGTTATTTTAAACAAAATTAAAAAGGATTATGATTAAGATTGATTCATTTGGATAATAATTTCTTAGAGTATAATGAAGGTGTGTCGGCTATAATTATTGAGGGTGTGTCGGCTATCCCGAAGTAAAAAATTTTGTACCAAAAATATGTAGGTCCTTCGTAAAATTCTCGTCCGACACACCCTGCAATGCCTTAGGTCCGCCACTGGCGGCGATCTATTTCTTCAAACGTTTATTTTGTACGTAATGGAGGTGCTATTAGTACCAACTAGAAGAGATGACATTTCGTTATCTTCGGTATACGCTGTCACCGATGTTGCGGACATTCCAAAGAAGAATTGGGCATCCTATTGCTTCAATGAATTGGTCAAATGCATCTGCGACCATAATGCTGATGGGAGAAAGTATATACCGGGTTGCTTGCTGTTTTTGGAGGTAAATAATTGCTAATCCCTACTTTCTACATATTCGTAATGATTAATCATCATGTTGATTATAGTTTTTTTTTGTAGTTAATATTCTTGGAGCATGCAAATGGTATTTTCCAAACCATTGATGGGAGTTTGGATTTGATGAGTTGGGGGAGCGGAGACGTAGAGTTGTTGTTAACAAAAGTGGTAAGACTGATAGTATATTTGATTTTTTTTGACGAGTTGGAGCATGCTAATGGTACATTTGGTTCCCTTTTTAATTAATTTATAGGTTTCCAGCAGTTCGGGGAAAAGATCATCTGAGGATGCAGGTTTGAAATCACCTCCAAGGAAATGGGGAAAAAGAGACGGGAAACGGCACAAAACCAACGGGGATGAGCTGCTTCTCTGTGAGCGTATTGATGCTCGGTTTAGTACCATGGAGGGTAGATTTGACAACTTTAGTCAAGAATTTAGAGTCGCAATGGGTGATGCTGCTTCTAGAGATGAGGAGCTAATGAGTCGGGTTGTGAAAATGGAGAACGAATTTCAGGCTTTTAGAGACAAAATTGGTACTGCGGTAAAGTCCATTATAGAGGCAGTGAAAGCAACTATAGGTGATCCGTTGTCAAGGGAACAGCCTACTGAGTTGAAAAAGAACGATCAGAAGGATGCGGCTGATAATATGAAAGCTTCTGCAGCTGTTTTGTTGTCAACGGAGCAGCTTATCAGAGGGGAAAAGGGCAATCAGAAGGGTGAGGTTGAAAAACCAAGTGAACCCATTTCTCCTACCTCCGAATGTGTCAAGACTCAAGGTTTAGGTGTTAAGAATTGGGGAGAAGCTGAGGGGGGAAATTGGAGATGACAGCTGTTCTGAATCTCCTTCTGTCAAAGTTGTGAAAAAGTCTCCTTGCAAGCAGGCGAAAGCGTCTAAAGTTGAGAAATTCATGTTGTTGAGTGATGAAAGTGTTGCTGCTAATGATGGTTGTGCCAAGACTGTGAAGGTATTACACTTGATTAAGTTTTCTAATTATTTGTTCTTATGGTGTGGTTACTAATGAACTGGTTTTGTTTTTATGTTTTTGAACAATAAAGGGGCGAAAGGGAGGTGGACTACGTAGTGTATCTAAATTGAAGCCTAGTTTGTATGTGGTCTCTCCATTCGAACGGGCAAATCCCAGAGCTAAGAAAACACAAACTTTGTACCTTGCTCCTCCCTTTGTTGTTAAGACACCATTGACTCTGGAGGCAGTAAAGATGATTCAATTTGCTTTTAGTAGTAAGCTTCCCGGAAGGTACCTCCCGAAATCATTACAAGTAAGATTGGATCATATTTGTAGGATGTTTTTGGTATTTGGCTTATTCTAATGTTGTGGTGTTTGAACTTGGTCTTGTACAACAGTGACATATTGGTTAGTCTTGATGGCGGGGTTCTTGCCTTGCTCCGTGAAGATTTGGTCGAGCTTTTGCCCAGGACCAGAATTTCAACAAGGGTGAGTTCCTTTATGTGTGTAATTTAGTAGATTGAACTTGTATTGCTGACTTTGGTATATGTGATGATGATGCATTAGATTATAGAAATGGCGTGTATGTGCAAGACACTAGAAGAACGAAGTTGTGGTCGCAGTGGTGGCTTGTATTGGTTCTTTCCACCTTCAGTTTCGGTATAGTTGTCTGCTTTGTCTATTCTTTTCATGAAATTAATCTATTTGTTTGTTACATGTAGCTTGTGTGGGTAACTGTGTTTTATTTTTCTAGGATCGTGCGTATCATTGCAACGAGGAGCAATTTATGGCCAACATGCGTTCATATAAGATACTTGAGCGATACCGTATAAATGAGCTACTTTACTGCAGTAAGGTATGTTGTAATGTTGTTTTCTAAAAGGAAATGGCTTAACCCTCCTATGTTAAATTGATAATTATTGTTTGTTTGTGCATTATTTCATATTCATGTCCCAATTTTCAACCTCACGTTGACCACTTCTGTCTGGCGGTCTTTAACAGGGAAGCCAAAGAAATCGAAATCTGGGACTCATTACCAGGAACTCATAACCAAGAATATGATGCAAGGATGCAGAAACTGGTTTGCTTCTTGTTCTTCAAGTTTTCAAACTTGACTTATTGCTTAGTTGTTAGTTGTTTTTCATTTGCCGACTTTGTCGTTAAATATCGATGAGGGGGATGTTTTCATTTACAGAAATTGGGTCTAGACTGGTTGCTTAAGGATGATATATGCGGGGCGTTTTCATTTGTGGACTTTGTGGTTAGATATCGCCAGGATGTTGCTTGCCAACCAAATGGGTACCCTTTGTTGTTGTTCAATTGTGCATTGTTCTAATTAAGTTCGATAATTATTTGTTCGCATCATGACCATGGTGATTATTTGTTATATTACAGATTTGATTGTGGACTATTTGTCGCCAATTACTTGCTGGATCCAGATCGATATTCCAAGAAGCTTGACCAGTTCGACAGTGACTATGAACGGGCACAACTTACAATGTACTTGCTCACTACGCATTTGAATGAGGTGAAAGCTACAGTTAAGGCACAATCAGATGAATATTTTAAGAGTCATGCGAGACCTGCCAAAATTGAGACTGAGAAGGTGAATTTCAAGACGAACTTACTCAATCGAGGAAGAAAGCCGTTGCACGCGCATGGGGAGAAAAAGGGTAGAAAGTCTAAGAAGCATTAGAAGTTGTGATGTTAATGTAGAGTTTAGTTAATGTGGATGTTGAATGAAGTTTAGGAAAATGTAGATGTTGAATGAATTTTAGTGAATGTAGATGCTGAATGAAGTTTAGGAAACTGTTGAAATTACAATGAACTTATGATTGAAGCATTATTCAGTGATGTTCTCTTTTATCTATATTATGTTTAATGTGTCGACAAGGAAGAAGTTATGAATGATCATATACCGAAAAATGGTTGAAAATGGACCTTATTCACCCTGCCAGCAGGCTGTTTCACGGCCTCAATAATCCATTTTCACGCCCGTGAGATGGTGATTTCTCATTGTCTCTGAAGCCTAGGATGGATCTTTCACGCCCGTGAGACTGTGCCGTGAGATGGGATTTTTATAACGCCTTAATGATGGGAATTTCACGCCCGTGAGACTAGGCCGTGATAATCAAAAAATCATTCCCTATAGTTCAGGGAACCTCACGGTCTTGAAAGGACAATCTCACACCTGTGAGATTGTGGGCTGGCGTGAGTTAGTGAAAAAAAAATGGCATTTAGAAGGTTTGAACCCGAGCACTTCGCATAATCATTCAGCGCATTAACCAATCAGACTACTTAACATATTATGTAAAATTCATTGTCCGTTTGCCTTTTACTACATATGGTTGAATGAGCGTTTGATTATCGGTTTTGGGTTCAACCCATGTAATTGTAAACCGATGTGAGATTGAGGTTAGGTATATGGTTGAATGAGCGTTTGGTTATCGGTTTTGGGTTGAACCCATGTAATTATGATCTGATGTGAGATTGGTTGATGATATATGGTTTAGTGAGTGTTTGATTACGGTTTTTGGGTTGAACCCATGTAATTGTGAACCGATGTGAGATTGGTTGATGATATATGGTTTAGTGAGTGTTTGATTACGGTTTTGGGGTTGAACCCATGTAATTGTGAACCGATGTGAGATTGGTTGATGATATATGGTTTAGTGAGCGTTTGATTAAGTTTTTGGGTTGAACCCATGTAATTGTGAACCGATGTGAGATTGGTTGATGATATATGGTTTAGTGAGTGTTTGATTACGATTTTTGGGTTGAACCCATGTAATTGTGAACCGATGTGAGATTGGTTGATGATATATGGTTTAGTGAGCATTTGATTATCGGTTTTTGGGTTCAACCCATGTAATTGTGAACCGATGTGAGATTGGTTGATGATATATAGTTTAGTGATTGTTTGATTACAGTTTTTGGGTTGAACCCATGTAATTGTGAACCGATGTGAGATTGGTTGATGATATATGGTTTAGTGAGCGTTTGATTATCGGTTGTGGGTTCAACCTATGTAATTGTAAACCGATGTGAGATTGAGGTTAGGTATATGGTTGAATGAGCGTTTGATTATCGGTTTTGGGTTGAACCCATGTAATTGTGAACCGATGTGAGATTGGTTGATGATATATGGTTTAGTGAGTGTTTGATTACGGTTTTTGGGTTGAACCCATGTAATTGTGAACCGATGTGATATTGGTTGATGATATATAGTTTAGTGAGTGTTTGATTACGGTTTTTGGGTTGAACCGATGTGAGATTGGTTGATGATATATGGTTTAGTGAGTGCTTGATTATGGTTTTTGGGTTGAACCCATGTAATTGTGAACCGATGTGAGATTTGTTGATGATATATGGTTTAGTGAGTGTTTGATTATGGTTTTTAGGCTGAACCCATGTAATTGTGAACCGATGTGAGATTGGTTGATGATATATAGTTTAGTGAGCGTTTGATTATGGTTTTTGGGTTGAACCCATGTAATTGTGAACCGATGTGAGATTTAGGTTAGGTATATGGTTGAATGAGCGTTTGATTATCGGTTTTGTGTTCAACCCATGTAATTGTGATCCGATGTGGGATTGAGGTTAGGTATATGGTTGAATGAGCGTTTGATTATCGGTTTTGGGTTCAACCCATGTAATTGTGATCCGATGTGAGATTGGGTTATGATATATGGTTTAGTGACTGTTTGATTACGGTTTTTGGGTTGAACCCATGTACTTTATATGGTTGACTGAGCGTTTGACTATGGTTTTGGGTTTAACCCATCTAATTATAAACCGATGTGAGATTGATTTATGATATATGGTTTAGTGAGTGTTTGATTATGGTTTTGGGTTGAACCCATGTACTTGTGAACCGACGTGAGATTGGTTGAGAGTATATGGTTCAATGAGTGTTTGATTATGGTTTTGGGTTGAACCCATGTACTTGTGAACCGACATGAGATTGGGTTTATGATATATGGTTGATTTTCGTTTGATTATGGTTTTGGGTTAACCCATCTAATTATAAACCAATGATTTTTTTGGGTCGCTCATAATGAAGAAATTCCTAGATCCTAAACCTTCACCGTCGTAAGTCGTAATAGTGATGTCGTTTCTTCCTTCTCGTCCTTCGTCGGCACCAGAGGACTGATCCTTGGTTCCTCCCTATCGGCTTCTTCCTTCCTGCTTCCCTCCCTCCATCCCAGCCTCAGTTCTTAATTGTCGTCCTTCGTCGGCTCTTCTCCACCAATATTACGAAACCAGATTCTTCCTATCTCACTTCCTTCGTATTCCCTTCTATATGCAACCATCGATTTTCCATTCTCCCTTATTCGCCCATCCTTCGCGACGGAGACATTCAGAGGCACCACAGGCACGATCCTAGCGAGCAACAGTGCATCTCCGTTCTCATCAAGCACATCAAAGCTCCGGTTCATCTGGTGGGGATTCGGTTTCTTTTCGTCTCGTTTCTCTCTTCTTCTTTGATGTTTTTTTTCTGGTTTCTTTGCATTTCTATTGCGATTCTAGGTTCTTACTTTCTTTCTTGCTTTCCCAATGCGATTTTATCAAGGCCCTGTGTTAGATGGTCCTCTCTAATTGTGATCGGAGCTCTCTGGTTGTCTTCTTTGTTCAATTTGGTGGGTGTAGTGAATTGTGATCTTGCTTGGCTTCATTTCATTTGTGAATGGTTGGTTTGTCGTGGAAGTGAAGGGGAAACTATCGAGCTGATATGGCACCTATCGAGCTGAGTTTGCTTAACTCGGACTTGCCTAGTGTTTGTTTCGTAGGTAAAGAATCATTTTGTTGGTTGTTTTCAGTTGATCAACTATGGAAGGGTTGATGGATGATATGAGCACAGGCAAGGACACGGGAATTGACTTGAATGTTGGTTTAGATTGGGGAATGAATTATGGAGATGATACCGGTGGTGTTAGAGATAGTGACGATATGGAGGACAATGTCGACACCAGCGATAGTGATTCTGAGGATGATAATAACACTAACATTGGTGATGATGATAAGGAGAACATCTCATATGAGCATTTGCACAGCTTCGAAACACAGCCACACAGCTCAGATGCACCTCTACACAAAGATGCAGCAAATCCAGCCATGGCTCCACCGTACTCGAGTATGTATGACTGGACCCTGCTTGATAAAGTCGGGAATGGTAAGACATATTCTAAATGGGAGTCGGATGATTTTGTGGGTTATGAGTTTGAAACCCTTGTGGAGGCTGGCAAGTTCTATTCAACTTATGGTTGTGCCATGGGATTCAGCGTACGAAAGAACACTCACACATATTCAAAATATGGAGTTAAAAATATGCAGCGATGGGTTTGCTCACGCGAGGGGGAGCGTCAACCAGTGCACAATGACAAGGAGAACAGAAAGCGTGAACCTAGGCCTGTAACAAGGCTCCATTGTCCGGCTGCTTTCAAAGTCAGTTTTGTTGAGGCAACTAACCGATTCAAGGTGAAGCAGTTTGTACCAACACATTTTCATCACTTAGCTGGAGCACATGAAGTGTAGTTTTTGAGTTCTCATCGCAAGGTAGATGACGCAAGTAAGGCTCAGATTCGATCACTTAGGGCTGCTGGTATTCGCACCAATCAAATCATGGATTATCTAGTGAATTGTGCGGGAAGCTTTCAGAACTTGGGTTTCACTAAGACCGATGTCTACAATTTTGTTAGTGCGGATCGGAGTTCGGAGATCTTGGATAGTGATAGTGAAGCTGCACTTGCCTACTTACAAGCACGGGCAACTACCGATCCTCGTTTTTATTGTAGATATACAGTAAGTGATGGTGGTGAACTAGGCAATATGTTATGGGCTGACTCTACTTCACAATTGGATTATAGTCTCTTTGGAGATGTTCTTGTTTTTGACTCGACGTACAAGACTAATGCATATAATCTTCCTTTTATTCTATTCATTGGTGTGAATAATCACAATGCAAGCACTGTTTTTGCATGTGCTTTACTTGCGGATGAAACGGCGGAGAACTACGTATGGATTCTAAATGCTTTTTTACATTGCATGGGTGGTAAGAAGCCAACCGCAGTTATAATAGATGGTTGTTCTTCAATGAGGAAAGCTATCAAGTCGGTTCTCCCTGGATCCCGACATCGGTTATGTTCTTGGAACTTGGGCAATAACGCAGAAGCGCGTGGCCATGCGGAAGGCTTCCGGGAGGATTTCAAACAATGCATGCTAAACTGCAGTTCTATTCCACAATTTGAAGCTACGTGGAAGGAAATTTTGTCCAAGTATGAGCTGGAGCACAATGCGTGGATGAAGAAGATGTATAGGCGACGAGCTCTATGGGCCACAACTTACTTGAAAGGTAATTTCTTTGCTGGGATGACTACGTCACAACGTTGTGAGAGCATGAACTCTTATCTAGACAAATTCTTGCAAAGTAAGATGAAGTTGTTTGAGTTTGTCAAGCAGTTTGACATGGCACTTTTGTATAGGAGACAAACTGAGTTACATGACCAGTTTAAGACAATACATAATGATGTTGTTTTGATGACACATTTACATGAAATTGAAAGACATGCCTCTATAGTATATACAAGAAATGTGTTCAAGAGCGTTCGAGCAGAAATAGCGAGAGAAGTTCATTACTATATTACAGACAAGTGTGTGTTGACCAATAAAATAATTTACACATTGTCACGATTCAAATACCCTGACTCAAAGTGCACCGTGGTCTTTTACACGAGTGGACATGATGTGCATTGTTCTTGTGGCATTTTTTAGTTCTGCGGAATTCCATGTAGGCATATATTCTATATATTGAAAGCAGAAAATCAAATATAAATTCCAAAGTCACTCATTTTGAAGCGTTGGACTAAAGATGCAAAATAGTTCGATCCCTCGAATATGGGAAGCTGTCCTACCCAGCAAAATATTAGCAGGTATTATAAATTTAAGCTGTTGATTTAGTTCTTTGTTTACTTCTATTGTGCTTGGAACCAACTACAAAAGTGCTTGTTTATTTGGACAGGTTTGGATTCTTCGTTGGTCAATGTAGTAGAATGTGCCATTATGCTGTGAGTTCGGATGAAGCATTTCATACTGCCAAAGGGTTGATTGAAGAATTGACCTTGCGAGTGAAGACAATAAGTGAAGAAACAACCAGCAAAACAAATAATGCTACTACAGATGCTGGAGTGAACTCCTCTCGGTTTATTAAGGACCCCCATCCAGTTCGAAGTAAAGGGAATGTGAAGCAACCTCAAGTGAAAACACGGTTGTGCAAGTATTGTAGGCGTTCTAAACATACAATCAGAAATTATCCACTGAAAAGAATGGTTGAAGCAGGTGCAGGTGATAGTCATTTCACGCAACAAGAATACAACTTCGAGTACATAGGAGCAGGTGAAAGCAGCTTTCAAGTGGAGACTCAAGAATCTGTTCTACTTCCCAAACGATCCAAGCACAACCTGTAATGTTGGTTTTCGGCTTCAAACAACATTATGTTTCATCTTGTCATGTTTGTTTTGTGCAAGTTAGTATCTAGTGACATTGAATGGATCTATGTAATGCTCGTGTCTAGATTCAAAGAACATTATGACTCATCTTTTCATAAGCTTGTAGTTTTCAAAAACAGTATATTATGTTTCTTACAACATTATAATAAGTACAGGGGTTAGTTCTACAGGTGAATGTCTGTGCATACTATTTCTGGAAATCTCACGGCCAATTCTGGAAATCTCACGGTCATGAAAGCAGGCGTGTTTTTGGATTTGAAATTCTGGAAATATCACGGTCGTGAGAGAAACCGTGAGAGAGGTGGTGTATGTAAAAATGCACTTCTCAGTTTCCCAGGGGTTTTCACGGGTTGGGTTCCACAATATCACGGCCGTGAGATGAGTCGTGTTTGTGGAATTGAAATGTTGGATTTCTCACGGCTAATCTATAAATTCTCACAGGCGTGAGATTAACCCGTGAGATGTTCGCAGCTCATATGAAAACCTCACGGCCAATTCTGGAAATATCACGGCCGTGAGAGAAACCGTGAGAGAGGTCGTGTATGTTCACAGCTGAAAACCAAAAACACGCCTCATAACTGAAATCTCACGGCCGGGAGATGTACCGTTGGATTTTTTTTAAAAAAAAGGTAAGTTCCAGGGGTTTTCACGGGTTAGAGTTGGCAATATCCCGCCCGGGATAAAAGCCGTGAGATGGAACCCTAAAATTTGAAACTCCCTATTTAAAACTTCCTCTTTTCTACTAGAACCCGACCCCCAACCCTCTGTTCTACTTCGACCCCCAACCCTCGCCCTCGCTCGCCCGCCCTCGAATCCTCCTGGTAACTACTCCAAGATTCTTCCGCCGCCGACCACTTCCCCACGACTCCTCCTCCTGGTAACTGCTCCATGGTTCAGCAGCAACGGCGACCATTTCCCCACGAGTCCCTGCCCTTTGTTCCACTTCGATCCCCACAGCGCCTCTGGTGAGTTCTTCTTAACCATAACGGCACTCTTCTCTGGTTTCTTGCATTTTTTAGGGTTTAGTTGCCCTAGGTTGGTCTGAATTAGGGTTTTGAATTCCTTATCATTGATTTTCTTAGTGCTGCTGGCTTTTGCAGTGAGCATTGACATGGTTCTGACTGATCATGATGGTGTAGACGTGATTAAAATGCTCCTGGGATCTTCTACCTTGACGTCACATTGAGTATTCCACCTCATCCATCTCTAAGGAAGGAAGCAAGGAAAACAAACTTTCCAAGCTCGATACTATCCTTGGACAAGGAAGGAAGCAAAGAGATGGAGATCGAAATACAGAGAGAGATCGAAATACATAGAGAGAAGTTTTGAGTGGAAGGGATGCAAAACCCCTGACCAAGGATTGCATCTAGCTTGGAAAGTTTGTTCTGTCCGGTATCACCCCAGCTCCAAGGGGAGTTACAATAGTAGAGGATACCTTGGAGATCGAAGAGGATGGAATACTCAAAGAGACGTCAAGGGAGAAGTCTGTAAGTCTATATCTTCTAGTATCTTTGTTGAAAACTGGAATGCATACCAGATTCCTTGATTTGTGAGTTACTTATGCTTATGCGCAAATATTTTCCATCTCATTTACTAAAGACTAAATGTGCTTAATTGTTTTTTGAAGGGTTTAGGGATCTACTGGCCATTTGTGTTGCTCCTTTGTTTCCTTTTTGCATATAGGTCTCTGTTTGTTGGATCAGGTTCTGTTTGCTTCTTTTGTAATGGATCGTATGATGTTTATCACCGTGTTTCTTAGTGCTGATGGCTTTTGCAGTGAGCATTGACATGGTTCTGACTGATCATGATGGTGTAGACGTGATTAAAATGCTCCTGAGATCTTCTACCTTTTTGTCACATTGAGTATTCCACCTTGTCGATCTCTAAGGAAGGAAGCAAGGAGAACAAATTTTCCAAGCTCGATACTATCCTTGGACAAGGAAGGAAGCAAAGAGATGGAGATCGAAATACAGAGAGTGATTGAAATACTAAGAGATCGAAATACATAGAGAGAAGTTTTGAGTGGAAGGGATGCAATGGGTGAAAGACCCCTGACCAAGGATTGCATCTAGCTTGGAAAATTTGTTCTGTCCGGTATCACCCCAGCTCCAAGGAGAGTTACAATAGTAGAGGATACCTTGGAGATCGACGAGGATGGAATACTCAAAGAGACGTCAAAGGAGAAGTCTGTAAGCCTATATCTTCCGGTATCTTTGTTGAAAACTGGAATGCATACCAGATTCCTTGATTTGTGAGTTGCTTATGCTTATGCACAATTCTTTTCCCTCTCATTTACTAAAGACTAAATGTGCTTAGTTGTTTTTTTGTAGGAATGGGTAAAGCTAAACAAAAAACCACGCAAGCATCAGCCTCGCCTGCCAAAGTGAAGGCTCTTCGTCTTCAAGCACAACCTGTAATGTTGGTGTTCGGCTTCAAACAACATTATGTTTCATCTTGTCATGTTTGTTTTGTGCAAGTTAGTATCTAGTGACATTGAATGGATCTATGTAATGCTCGTGTCTCGCTTCAAAGAACATTATGACTCATCTTTTCATAAGCTTGTAGTTTTCACAAACAGTATATTATGTTACTTACACCATTATAATAAGTACAGGGGTTAGTTCTACAGGTGAATGTATGTGCAGACTATTTCTGGAAATCTTACGGCCAATTCTGGAAATCACACGGCCGTGAAAGCAGGCGTGTTTTTGGATTTGAAATTCTGGAAATATCACGGCCGTGAGAGAAACCGTGAGAGAGGCCGTGTATGTAAAAATGCACTTCTCAGTTTCCCAGGGGTTTTCACGGGTTGGGTTCGACAATATCGGCCATGAGATGAGCCGTATTTGTGGAATTGAAAAGTTGGATTTCTCACGGCTCATCTATAAATTCTCACGGGCGTGAAATTAACCCGTGAGATGTTCGCAGCTCATATGGAAACCTCACGGCTTGTAATTAAACTCTCACGGGCGTGAGAATAAGCCGTGATATGGAAACCACTCCCAATTTCTCACGCCTCATAACCGATGTCTCACGGGCGGGAGATGAACCGTTAAATTAAAAAAAAAAACAAAAAAAAAGAGTCCCAGGGAGTTTCACGGTTTTGTGTTGGTAATATCCGGCCCGGG